GTGAGAGAGTGTGTGTGCGCGTGTGAGTGCGTGTGTGTGTGAGTGAGAGAGTGTGTGTGCGTGTGAGTGTGAGAGTGAGAGAGTGTGTGTGCGCGTGTGAGTGCGTGTGTGTGTGAGTGAGAGAGTGTGTGTGCGTGTGAGTGAGAGAGTGTGTGTGCGTGTGAGTGAGAGAGTGTGTGTGCGTGTGAGTGCGCGTGTACGTACGTAGGTCTGGGCAATAAAACGATAACAATTATCGAGATATAATTTTACTCCGTAAAACGATAACAAGAGTTCAATAAACGTTTGATATAATGTTTACGCTCCAAAAGTGAAATGAAACTCATCTGATCGGCGGCACACGGAGCATTTATCAGAGTTCAGACAGCAGCAGCGCGAGCTCACTAGAGCAGATGTGTTACTCTCTGATGAGTCTCAGTCACACGACACGAAACACAGCTGTGAGATCCAGAGTGAAGCGCCTGAGTTCAGCGGAGAACACAAACGACTCGTGATTTAAACTAAAGATGAAACTGCGCTGACAAACAGCAGAAACACTGTATTTAGACTACTGTTTTTCATACAAATACCTAGAAACATATATACATTTTTACCATGGTATTGAGGTGCTATTTGTGTGGTTTTGACTGTGGGTGTCATGATCTAAATGTCTGCAATTATGGAAGACCAATGGTTAATTAATAAAATGTATGTCTCCTTCATTGGTGTTCATATGAGCATGTGTGTGTTTGATTACCTGCGGCTGCGCTGCGGTGGCTCTGCCGGTTTAACGGCTGCAGACGGGACGGTGAGACTCTGGGGAGAGGCAGTCACAGGTCGGGTCACAGCACTCACAGCCTGCAGCAAACACACACACACACAGTGCTAACTTCAACACACACACACGAGCACACGGCCGATTCCCAATGAGGCGAGAGACAGGAATGTGACGGGGAGGACAGACGAAGACAGAGGAAGATGAGTCTCAGCAGCAGCACACGCCACAGACAGCAGCGGGTCGACGACAGCAAGCAGGGGCAAGCGGCAGCACAATGAGAACGGCATGAGAAGAGCAAGCGTGCGATTGGAGGATGATGGGAGGAGGCGGGCAGAGGCGGGTACACAGCTGACCTGGGGGAGGGGTTTCATCACAGGGCTGCACGAGGAGGCGTGGCCTGCTCTCCTGGGGCTATACGGGCGCTCGGGGGCATGGCTTCTGCCCTGGCACGAGTGAGACGCCCGCCGCAGGCGACGGGGCGAGCGCGGCTTCTCCACAGGCAGGAAGACCGAAGAGGAGGCGGCGGCAGGAGGCCGGCGCTCCTCTTCCTCGTCTGGGCCGTCAGGAGAGAAGGACAGCACGATGCGGTGGCCCAGCACGTCTTCGTTCTCCATGCGCTTGCGGGCGCGCTCTGCTGCCTCGGCGCTGGAGAACCGCAGCACACCGCAGCCGCCCGACACGCCCAACACCTTCCCTCCACAGTTAGTGGAGAGCCGCTGCAGCCGGTTGGCCACCGCTTTGGCGTCGCGGTGCGTGGGGAGGTGGTGCACAAACAGAAGGCTGAAACTGGGCTGAGGAGCAGACACACAAACAGCACTCTGGGAGATCTGAGATGGTGCTGGAGTTCAGCGTCTAGCCCGCCACGGACAGCTATAAATGACGGGGTTTTAACTCTCTATGAACTCCATTAAAATCTCAGAGCGTGGAGTCAGACAGTGAACGGCTTTACGATCACATGATTACAACAGCGGCCAAACACACGGTTCTGTCTCCAAACAGAAAAACCAGCCAGCTGTGCTCTGCATTCATCAAATCAGTGTTCACATGTAGGAAAAGCAGTCAGGAACAGAGGGAGTGAGGTGTGGCGGCTGACCTGAGATTTGACGACCATCCCGGGAGGCAGGTCCGAGACGAACTCCTCGAAAGCGGCGCGCAGGTGCGCATGCTGCAGCAGGGCAGACGAGGCCTGGCTCTTGTGGACCAGAATCACCTGGAACCTGTGGCGATGCCGCAGGTCACTCAGCTCACTGGCGAAGTTCACGTCCGCTGCGTGAAGGACAGAGAACGCTGCCGTTAGAACGGGTAGATTCAGTTTAGTTTTTTACATGAGGCCAGCTTACAGTGTTTGTAACTAGTCTGTGTTTGAATCAGTCATAATATTGTCTCCAACCCGTATTAGATAGATGGGCCACTGCTGCTGTTGTGTCTAGTCTATGTGAAACCAGTTTATCACTGTGTGTTTGCTGTCGGTTCAGTCTAGTTTTGACAGGAGCAGCTTAAGCTTTCACACTTTTCCACATATGATGCAAGTTCCTCTGCTGTTCAGGAATAAGTGTCTGTCCCGCTTCCTCCTCATGCCCTCACCGTTACTGAACGGATCACGTTTCTGATGCCGTCTGAATGAGGACGCTCATCTGTGTGACGTCAGAAGTTCAGAACAAGAACCTTCTGCAGTTTAGTTTCAATAAATGTTTAGTTTCGCTGGAGGAAGTTGAGCGGATTTATTTGATCTATTATATCAAGCACTTTCATCCAAAGAGATAAAGGACAATCTGATTCGTCATTTAAGCCCATCAAATATTTTGGACCCAGAGTTGTAAGTTTACAGACACGTACATGAAACAACGATGACTGTGGCGGGAGCTGCGTGTGTCTCTGCGAACCGCCGGAGGCTCTGACGCAGTTTGTCATCTGCTGCATTTTTGGCGGTGGCGTTAATGTGGGCGACGGTCACCTGAGCGGGAACAGAGCAAGCCATGAAGAAACACGCTCTCCTGAAGAGACAGAAGCGCGTGGAGCATCAATCACACGGCAGTGAAACGAACGTAACACTGGAGCGCACCTGGCAGTTGTTGAGCTCCTGAATAACGGCTTTGTTCTCTTTATTGATGTCACACACGCAGATGAACTCGGCCTCGCGGTGTCCCTGGAAGAAGCGCTCTCGGAGCCTCTGCACCACGGTCGCCGCCGAGCGGCCGCTGGGAACCGCACAGTTCTCGATGTCCCAGAACACCCCGATGGGCGGCAGCGTCTCCTGCGCGCCAGTCTCCGGAGGACCTGCGGACACAGAGCGGCACTCGTCCAATTCCTGCAGAAAACACACCACAGGCACGACTTACAGCTCGCTAGTCAACATTTGTGTACGGACCGTATTTCTGTGTGGTTTTGCCGAGATGGACGCCCAGCAGACCGTCGGACGATGCGCCCGTCACGCCGCAGCCGTTGCACACAGGGACAGGCGGGGGAATGTTCGGCCAAACCTTCTCCGAGTCGACATGTAAACTCTGAAAGCAGAAGAGACTGATGTTAGCTTTCACTGCAGAATCTACGCCAGAGCCCTACCACATTTCTGCCTCGCCCCCTGTCAGTCGAGGCTGTGCTTTACTGAGGAATGAAGGATGTGCCCCCAAAAACACAAGACGACTTGAGCAGCGGTGCGATCCACCAACCTTTCTCCAGCACTCCTGCAAACAGTGAGCGCCCTTCAGGCACGGCGGCGTGCGCCCGACACTCAGGTGCAGAGGGTTAGAGCAGAGGTGAGAGGGTGAGGACGGGTCACCGTGAGGGAAAGGGTGCTGCTGCACTCTGCGGCAGTGACAGACGCCCGGCGGGGCCGGCTTACACAGAGCGCAGGCGTGCAGCGGCCTCACACTGGCGCAGCAGCTCGCTCCGGAGCCACTCTGAGCCACAGACGAGGGGTGAGGGGGGGTGCGGGTGCTTGTCTGAGAGAGACACAGAGGAAAGCCTCCACCGGCCTCACTAAAGCTCTGCTGCAGGTGTATGCTGGCCTCGCAGCGGGAACACACGCTTACACTGAGGCTGCCTGGCTGAGAGCCGGTGCTGTGGAGGAGAGGAGGAGGAGGAGGAGGAGGAGGAGGGACGTCCTTCAGCTCCAGGACCGGCTCACGGACCTCCATGGAGTCGCTCTGGAGAAACAGAAGCACAGAGGCCTTGAGAACACGCTCCATGAGACATGAAACACCACAATGGGACAGAAATGTGCTCGTAAATCACCAGCACCAGCACAAACACAGCAGCAGCAGCAGCTCTCAGCAGCGGACCTCCGAGCAGCGCAGACGGACTAAGTTAGAAGAACACCAGCAAAGCCATTCAAATGACGGAAACACACGCCACGGGCCGCCAATCAGTCAGATTAAAGCTAATGACGCTCACATGAGACTCTATGAGCGGACTCTTTCACACGCTGCTGTTTTCTGCAGTTTTTCTCTCTGTGTTTGTTTTTGTTCGCGCGGCTGCCGTGTTCCGCGCGCTGCCTGTCAGTCGCTGTGTACGGTTTCGTGGAAACATGATCAGACACGAGATACTCATTTGTAACGAATAAAACGGACAATTGAAATGCATTTAATGAGAAATTTTGAATTAAACGCAGCTCACCTTCTCGCGCCGGCCGCAGTGCCTTCAGGCGTCTCCCTGGTTACCAGACTTCCGACTGATCTGTGCCGTAAACCAACGCGCCTGTCGTAAAATGAGCGTCGTTTCCACCAGAGCGGAAATGGTTTGCAGCGATTTTTTTTCTGTATATTAAAACATAAAATGTGTCTAAAAATGTTTCGTTCTCACATTTTGAATCGAGGCGAGTAATTTACTGCGACAGATAGGAATATATGTCGTGTGGCGTGCAAAACTATTCCGTTCAGCATTAAACGATTCATCTCACATGATTGTTTAATGATCTAATGATAATATAGTGGAAATGTGAAATGTTACAGAAGGCCAGTAAACTGGATGTTCATGTGTGCGGCTGTACTTAGAGGTGAAGTGTTTATTAGGGATGATAACACACACATGAAGAACCCAAACAATTATAGTTCAATCCTCCACATTACTGTAAAAAGCCTTTGTGATGGCATTAAAGCCTTCTAACCTGAACACACAAGCTACAGATGGTTAAATACACACATATATAAGGTAAAAATAGAAGACAATTCAAAGCAATAATAAATGTAAAAAGCTAATTTTAAAAAGCTAAAACTAAAGTGATTTATGAGCTGTTAACTATATTAATCTGGTGCTCAAAACCTGATCACAAACAGCTGCTGAATTACAGCACATCTATACTTTATAACTTCTTTCATGACAGTTGAGTGTTACGGTTAAACATTAATGTGTTATTTGGTGCTTCACATACATGATTTCCAGCAGCTAGTAACACAGCCACCATCGAGAGACAAACCAAACGCTCACATCGAAACGAGGATTCAGAAACGCTGCAGTGGCGTCAAATCATGTTGACCGTAAAACAGTTCAGGTTTACATTTAAAAACAACAAGAAAGACAGCTTGAGAAGGATGCCTTAAATACAGGGAATGTGAGCATACACACTAATAATATCCTCCTGTACAATTTAGTTCTAACGAGTCGCTGGACTATATATTTCTGAACACAGAGTGAGATGAAGGAAGCCCGTGACCATCAGTCAGTCGGTGAAATCAGAGCGACAGCTGGAGCTTTGGAGCGTGCAGAGGTAGCGCTTCATACAACGGGTGCACACATTTATAACAACGCACAGCATATGCTGAATTCTAACAGGAGATAAAGAGAAAGTCAGTGATCAGCTGTCCTCTATAGTCTTACGGGTTCAGTAAGGTCAACGGTCTGCCGCTCGCATGCGTTCATACAGGAAGGCCATCACGTCATCTCGAGCGAAGGCCGAACCTCAATGAAGCGTGTGACTGAGGAGGATGAGTCCTGCAGAGACGCCGCTCACGCTGGCTCGATATTAAATATTGTCCTGGCTATTCCAAGCTCTATCATTGCAGTGCTTCAGTCCAAAAGAAGTGAAATAATAAGCGCCCATGCATAAAAAAAAAATTTTTTTTAAAAAGAGTGTCTCACACACGGCTCCGGGGGGTGATCAAAAAAACGTGATTATTACGTTTTGAATATGGATATTTTTCTTACAGAAACGCATTGATACAGGATGCCTTTGTTCACCCCCCGGAGCCGTGTGAGACACTTTTTATGCATGGGCGCTTATTATTTCACTTCTTTTGGACTGAAGCACTGCAACGATAGAGCTTGGAATAGCCAGGACAATATTTAATATAACTCCGACTGGATTCGTCTGAAAGAAGAAAGTCATATACACCTAGGATGCCTCTGGGGTGAGTAAAACACAGTCTAATATTCATTTTTGGGTGAACTAACCCTTTAACCAGCATTAGTGATGATAAAATGTTCGCTCAATTAGTGAGTAGCTGAATAAATGCACTGGTGGACAATAATGGGCGAGATGATTTAAGCAGATTAGTAGCACGTTTTATAGATCTATTTAAAGAGACAGTTCACCCAATCAACAGTAGACCTCACTGACTTTCATCTCGAACTTCGCGCTAGAGGAGAGAGACTGGGGCAGTTTAGTGTTTGTCGACAGAGCCTGCGGCAGTTTGTTCCCGAAGTCCTAAAACAGAGTGAATAACATCACACACACCGCGGCCGCGTCAACCGGGACCGACAGGAAAATATTCCACAAACACACGCTCCACATTAAACTCATTCAAACAGCGCCTTCATCCCCGCTAATCGAGCAGAGTGAACCATTATACCCGCGGGACACTCACCAGATCCATCCTACTCGTCCATTTGTGTAAATTATCAACGAAATTCATCGATGAGCAGGAGAACACGCAGAAATTTGATATTCACCGGAAGTCGTTCCTGTTTCTCACGAGCACGATAAACAAACAGCGCCACCTGCTGAAGAGGACTAACACACACACACACACTCACACACACACACACGCACACTCACACACGCACACACGCACACACACACACACACACACACACACCCACCCACACACACACACACACACACCCACACACACACACACTCACACACACACGCACACACACACACACTCAATACACACCCACACACACGCACACTCACACACGCACACACGCACACACACACACACACACACACACACCCACCCACACACACACACACACACACCCACACACACACACACTCACACACACACGCACACACACACACACACTCAATACACACCCACACACCACTCACACTCACACTCACACACACAAACATACCGCAGCACTTTCCGTCTCAGACTCAATCTATTCTCTTTCCAATTTAGTGCGTCCCGTCCCATCCCGGACATTCGTCTTCCCGCTGAAATATTCCATCAAACACTAAAGTGCTTCTGTCTCTCGGTTATAAAGCGGACGGCACAGGAACATTAGTGTGAGATGGACAATATTTCCCTTCCTCCGTCCCGAGTGCGAGTACAAACACAGGCCCGCAGCGTTATAAAGGTGCGCCGGCGCTCCATTCATAACGGGACGCTCATTAGAGAGCTGGAGATCCATCTAGAGGGACATGTTCAGATCGAATGCTCCTCGATTTCAGAGCGCCTCCAGATAACAGAAGAGCGTCAAGAAGACAAATGCTCTCCTCTGGAGCATTCAGATCCGTTTCTCAGGTGTGTGATGATGTCCGATGCGCTACAATCTCAACAAACCATCAGAGATATGAAACATCTCACGCATCTACTGGATATGATGATATACTTATATATTACACGCATAGTCAGGTTTGTCAGGACCCCAAAATGTTAAACGGAAAGCAAAATGTTACAGATTAATAATCCTCTTCTATATTATATGCATAACAAACTTTACTCATATATATATAGACGAATAAATTACATACCTGTTATCGCACAAAGCTCCGTTTTTGGAATTACAATTTTATGTTTTTTATAATAATTTTACAACTTTTAATGTATGCAATAATATAAATCCATTAAACTCTGACACCATTTGATCTAAAGGTATCAAACCAACTGTAACATATTCCGAATATTATTCCCTATGATGCACAAGGCTTGGTTTTCCAGATTATGCCTTTACTGTTTTTATATACAGTACTGAATCCATATTTGTCATGTTTTATATACTGTACCCACTTAAATTAATTAAACTCTGACACCGTTTGAGATAAAGGTATCAAACCAACTGTAAATTGGATGAAAAAGAATTGTACATTTTTATCAGCAACGGATTTTCAGTTTTTCTGCATACAAAGAAAATCCTGAAAGAAAAAAAAGAACAACATCGAGTAAAACGAGTAGAGTTTTCTTGTCTAATTCAAGTTTGAGCAGTCATCCTCCGCCTGTGTGTGTGTGTGTGTGTGATGAGCAGCACAGCTGCATGGGTTCGGTTAGCTCAGCCCTATATTTACCCATCAGCTGGGCTGAAAACAACACAAGCTGGATAGTTTTAACAGCTCCAGCATCACCAGCACCGTACAGTACACGTGTTTGTAAACGACCTGATGCTGGGATGGAAGATGTACTGTATATCTGTCTCTATGAACATTATTAAGAGCATGACGTCAGAAATAAATACTGATCTGATACACTTATAGGTGCATTCAAATTACACACAGTATACAAAGTATCAGTATACAGAATGATTATATATGTTAGATATAGCTATGCTGGTACTGATAAACAGATCAAGTGTTTGTTCTGGTCAGAAAGGAACATAAGTTATTACAACTCTACCCTACATAACTAAAGAAAAACATCAAAAGACAAAATGTAATTTGTTTAATATGAAACATATCTTTTTATAACTTAGAAATGTAATCTCTTTCGCTTTCTCTCGATCTCTGTGTCCGCAGCGGCGCTCCGTACATGAGCATCGACCGACCGACCGACCGACCGACCGACCGAACGGAGCGGATGTCGGCGGCGCTGCTCGGTAATAACCGCTCCGTGGGCTCCGTCATCGGCTCCAGCGCGTCCGCCTCACTCATTATATCGAGGGTAAGTCTAATGAAATACACAAGGAATTATGATCGTATTCATCTCTGTAGTGTGAACACGAGCACATCAGCCTGTCTGGCGCGTCGCGCTGTATCGGTGTGACGCTCGGTGTCGCGGCGGCGGAGGCGCAGATCATCGGCTCGAGCTGGACGACATTTTATTTTCCTGTCAAATGTTCATGCATGGCTTATTTTCATTAACGAGCCGCTGCTTGATGCAGGAATGAGTGGATCTGCTGTGCTGGTCCTGCAGAATCAGCATCAGCATCAGCATCAGCATCAGCATCATCACAGAACACCTGGACAACACACAGACATTAGAAATGGTGGTTCTGAGGCCCGGAAAAGTCATGGAAACTCAACACAATCTCAAAATGGGAATTTTTCTTGAGTTAAATAGATATCAACTCTAAAATATTACATTAAAAAATCTATTAAATGATACTGAAAAAAAAGAAATGAACTGGTCAAAGCTGCATGAACTGCTATTAAGGTGTGATTTTTCTGCCAGTCGCTGATATTATTTGAATGAGTCTGTAATTCACTTCTTCAGCTGATCCTGTTATGAAGCATCACTGATCCCACAGGGAGACCTTTAGATTCAAAACTGCAGCACTGCTTTGGACATCATGTAATTAAAGTGTGCTTCGATAGAAACAGAGAGCAGACATTATGATAAAACATTGTTATGGTATAGTTCACAAAGTCACATTTTAATGGGCACAAACGTTCTGTCCTAAACCTCGAATGCAGGCTGAGTCTGTGGCATGTCCACGCCGGAGCCCCCGTTAGGAGGCACGCCCTGCCCGGGGCCCTCGCCTGGTCCGGGCCCGTCTCCAGGGGCCATGCTGGGGTCCGGACTGTCCCCTGGATCCTCACACAGCATGATGGGCCCCAGTCCCGGACCAGCCACTTCCACATCACTCTCCTTTCCTCCACAAGCACCTGCGGGATACAGCCAGGAGAGTCTGCACCAGATGCACAAGGTGGAGGTCTAAACCAGCCTCAAAGCCCAATAGCAGAGGTCATATCTCTATTAATGTATTTCTTTGTCCTAAAGCCGGTGGAGGAGAACCTTTCAGAAGACGTTCGCTTCACTCAGATGAAGGTGGTTCCGATGAGGATGACCCGTCCAGGGAGCCCGATGGACCAGCACTCGCAAGGTAACTTCACCAGCAGCAGACAAAGGGCCGTTTAACTAGTAGAGTCTGACGGATGTCCGTTTTCGGCTCCCTTGTTGCATTTTAACTTGTGCATTCAGTGTTGGCTTTACTTTGCTACATGAGACTCAGCATTTGAGAAGCGCTGCTGTCTGTTCCGTCACAAACAGGACGATGTTTTATTGTTAGACTAACATGTCTCTTCTGTCTCCTCCTGCAGGATACCCGTCTCCGCTGGGCTCTTCAGAGCACGTGTCCAGTCCCGTGTCTGCCAGCGGGCCTCCATCAGGTCCTCTCCTGTCCACCTCTGGCTCTAGCTCTGCCTCGCTGGACGGTGTGGACAGTCAGAGCCTCCCGCAGCAGAACCGTCCGGGAAGCCAAAGCACGGCCCCGGGACCAAGCGGCTCCTCCGCTCCGACGCCCTTCAACCAGAGCCAGCTGCACCAGCTGCGGGCGCAGATCATGGCGTATAAGATGCTGGCGCGCGGGCAGCCACTCCCAGAACACCTGCAGATGGCGGTGCAGGGCAAGCGGCCCATGCCAGGGATGCCCCAGGGACCGTCTCTGACCAGCGGCGGAGCGGGCACCGGCTTCAGCCGAGGACATGGTGAGCACATCTGACACACTTAATCTACCACACATGTATCTGAGCTGTTCATGGTTGTTCTGATAGTTGATAGTTAGGCGTTGTGTGCGTAACCTCACTCCTAATTCAGATTGAAGTGTATTTCTTGGTTCTCTTCTGAATGATGCTCAGTCCTGATGGAGTGGAAGTGTGTTGAACATTCAGCAGCGCTGCACTCGTCTGTGGTGACTTTAGTAAAGGGTTAGTTTGTGCCGGTTGCTCCGCAGGGATGGTGGGACCCAACATGCCTCCTCCTGGACCTTCTGGAGTCCCGGCTGGTGTTCAGAGCCAGAACCACAACGGGCCCCCGAAACCGTGGCCTGAAGGTGAGAGCGCATCCGTGAACTTCTTCTGGTAGCACGCTTCTTCTGGTAAAGCAGCCTGTGATGATGTGTGTCTGTGTGGCAGGTCCTCTGGTCAATGCGGCGACCCCCTCGAACGCTCCTCAGAAGCTGATGCCGCTGCAGCCCACCGGACGCCCCTCTCCTGCACCCCCGTCTGTGCCACCGGCCGCCTCTCCGGTAATGCCACCGCAGACCCAGTCTCCAGCACACCTGGGCCACTCGTCTCAGCCTGCCACCATGGTGCCGCTGCACCAGAAGCAGAACCGCATCACGCCGGTTCAGAAGCCCTGCGGTCTGGACCCGGTGGAGATCCTGCAGGAGAGAGAGTACAGGTGAGTCCTAGCCCTGACCCTGACAGAACCGCAGGCGGAGAACAAACGATCGCACTCAGAGAACACTGCCACCACTGCTCGTTAAACCAGCCTCCTCTAAACCAAAAGAAACGACGCTTTTTCAGGCTTCTAGTGAACCTGCACTGAAGTGATTTACTCGGTTATCTGTTCTTAACTCTTTCCCCACCAAACATCCATGTTCATGCTGTTATACACTAGGGGGCGCTATGACGCATCTCCTGAATGAGTCCAGAATCTGCCGATCAAAAACACTGGTGGAGAAAGAGTTAATACAGGTACATAGATTTCAAATCACTGTGATAGAGTTTAAATATGTACCGTTTAACTGGAAAGGCAGACTGCACGTATTCAGGATTGTTGGTGATAGTTGGTGAGTTTTTCAGGCACAAATCGGCTCGTTCGTGCGGACTACACCGGCTCAGTTTCACTGCCGAGTGGTTCCTGGACTTCTGATGCTTTGTGTTTCTGCAGGCTGGAAGCTCGTATCACTCACCGCATTCAGGAGCTGGAGAATCTTCCAGGGTCTCTGGCTGGAGATCTGCGCACCAAAGCCACGATTGAGCTCAAAGCGCTCCGACTGCTCAACTTCCAGAGACAGGTGATGAACCCGGACTGACGCTGTGATCCACATCAATCTACTGACATATTCCACTGCATCAGTGCATCTGTTGAACATCCTCTGCTAAAGTGCTCTGATGTTCATCTGTTTGCCTTCACAGCTGCGTCAGGAAGTGGTGGTTTGCATGAGACGCGACACGGCCTTAGAAACCTCACTGGACTCAAAGGGCTACAAGCGCAACAAGAGACAGTCGTTACGTGAGGCACGAATCACAGAGAAACTAGAGAAACAGCAGAAGATCGAGCAGGAACGCAAACGCAGGCAGAAACACCAGGCAAGCGGCTCTAGCACACTCACAGCGGCTCTCTGATTCCTCAAAACACCTGAGAGCACACTGGAAATCTGGGATTTAAAATCTAATTTTAACGTGCAAATAAACAGCTAATTTAAAGGAAAAGTTATGATGTAAAAGAAACAGATATTTCAGATTGAGCTCTATTTCTAAGCAACCAGTCAGAAGATCAGTGATCATGTTGTTCTTCCAGTGAAGCTGAAGATGCTCTGTGGATCTTCTCAGGTCCTGCTGGAGAACATGATGATCAGGTTTAGATGCTGACTGATTCTCTCATGCATCTTCCTTCTGCAGTTCAGTTGGTCACTCTTATTGTGATGCTGATCATATGATTAGTAATGAAATATTTAGTATGAAATTACAGGAGAATGCAAAATAAACATTTCCACAAGTGTTCTCAGACGTTTGGAGCTCACTTCAGTCATTGTGTTAATTCCTATGATTCATTGCTCTGCTGCAGGAATATCTCAACAGCATCCTGCAGCACGCCAAAGACTTCAAAGAGTACCATCGGTCCATCACAGCGAAGATCCAGAAACTGACCAAAGCTGTGGCCACATACCACGCCAACACCGAGCGCGAGCAGAAGAAAGAGAACGAGCGCATCGAGAAAGAGCGAATGAGACGCTTGATGGTACACACATGCACACACTTACACACTTACACACACACTCAGTGGGGTCACAAACGTCCACAGAAGAGAAGAAGAAGATTCCCGACCCGGACAGTGAGGACGTGTCTGAAGTAGACGCCCGTCACATTATAGAGTAGGACACACTCACACATCTGTCACACATCTGCTGCAGCTGGAGCATCACTGCAATCAGCAGCATTTACAGGCTCTTCATACACTCTCAGTGCTGCAGTCTGAACCTGTGTGTGTGTGTGAGAGTGTGTGTTTGAGAGAGAGAGAGTGTGTGTGTGTGTGTGTGTGTGTATGTGAGAGTGTGTGTGTGTGTGAGAGAGAGAGTGTGTGTGTGTGTGTGAGAGTGTGTGCCTTGTGTGTGTGTCTCTCTCATGTATCTTATGTGAGTGTGTGCGTTTCATGTCTCCTATGTGTGTGTGTGTGTGTGTGTGTCTCATGTCTCATGTGTGTGTGTGTGTGTTTTATGTCTCTTATGTCTGTGTGTTTCATGTCTCGCGCGTGTGTGTGTGTTTGTGTCTCTCTCAGGTCTCGTGTGTGTGTGTTTGTGTGTGTGTGTCTCTCTCATGTCTCTTGTGTGTGTGTGTGTCTCTCTCTCATGTCTCTTGTGTGTGTGTGTCTCTCTCATGTCTCTTGTGTGTGTGTGTGTGTGTGTGTGTGTGTCTCTCATGTCTCTTGTGTGTGTGTGTCTCTCTCATGTCTCTTGTGTGTGTGTGTCTCTCTCATGTCTCTTGTGTGTGTGTGTCTCTCTCATGTCTCTTGTGTGTGTGTGTCTCTCTCATGTCTCTTGTGTGTGTGTGTCTCTCTCATGTCTCTTGTGTGTGTGTGTCTCTCTCATGTCTCTTGTGTGTGTGTGTCTCTCTCATGTCTCTTGTGTGTGTGTGTCTCTCTCATGTCTCTTGTGTGTGTGTGTCTCTCTCATGTCTCTTGTGTGTGTGTGTCTCTCTCATGTCTCTTGTGTGTGTGTGTCTCTCTCATGTCTCTTGTGTGTGTGTGTCTCTCTCATGTCTCTTGTGTGTGTGTGTCTCTCTCATGTCTCTTGTGTGTGTGTGTCTCTCTCATGTCTCTTGTGTGTGTGTGTCTCTCTCATGTCTCTTGTGTGTGTGTGTCTCTCTCATGTCTCTTGTGTGTGTGTGTCTCTCTCATGTCTCTTGTGTGTGTGTGTCTCTCTCATGTCTCTTGTGTGTGTGTGTCTCTCTCATGTCTCTTGTGTGTGTGTGTCTCTCTCATGTCTCTTGTGTGTGTGTGTCTCTCTCATGTCTCTTGTGTGTGTGTGTCTCTCTCATGTCTCTTGTGTGTGTGTGTCTCTCTCATGTCTCTTGTGTGTGTGTGTCTCTCTCATGTCTCTCCTGTGTGTGTGTCTCTCTCTCATGTCTCTTGTGTGTGTCTCATGTCAATTCAATTCAATTCAATTCAATTCAAAATTGCTTTATTGGCATGACTGTAAATTATACATGTCTCTTGTCTTGTGTGTGTGTGTGTCTCTCTCATGTCTCTTTTGTGTGTGTGTGTCTCGTGTGTGTGTGTGTGTGTGTGTCTCTCTCATGTCTCTTTTGTGTGTGTGTCTCTTGTGTGTGTGTGTGTGTGTGTGTCTCTCTCTCATGTCTCTTATGTGTGTGTGTTTTGCAGGCATGCTAAACAGGACGTGGATGATGAGTACGGCAGCGCAGCGTTTGCTCGTGGGCTACAGTCATATTATGCCGTGGCTCATGCGGTCACTGAGCGGGTGGACAAACAGTCGTCTTTGCTAATCAACGGTCAACTCAAGCAATACCAGGTCATTCTGAGCTCTTACCAGTCGTTCAACATCAACACTTTCAACATTAATGGACAACTGATGAGAGTTTTTTAAGTTGCTGATACACACAAAACACACACATTAAGAACAGACTAAGAGAGCTCTAGTGATTGCAAACAGAAAACTGACTGAAACAATAAAAAACAATCCAAACGAAGAGACTTCAGACAGACGAAACAGCAGGCACTAGCTGAATGTGTTGATGTTGTGACTGTTTCTCCACAGGTCAAGGGTCTGGAGTGGCTGGTGTCTCTCTATAACAACAATCTGAACGGGATCCTGGCGGATGAGATGGGTTTGGGCAAAACCATCCAAACCATCGCTCTCATCACGTACCTGATGGAGAACAAGCGTCTGAACGGACCCTACCTCATCATCGTGCCGCTCTCGTCAGTCGCTCAGCCTGTTTTTACTTCTGTATGTTCACACAGAG